TCAGCAGGATTTTAGTGAATTTAGTAATAATTTTAAAGATTTTCAAATGAAACAGAATATTCAGGTAACTTAAATGTCTTTTCAATAATATATCAAGTTTTAATTGGTAATAGCTTTGTCCACCCAAATATTTCTTTGTCTTTCAATTTGTTTTAATGCAATTTTTCATTTACTATCTTAGTTTATAATATGGTGTTATATTCCAACCTAATTTAAAGTAATCTTGGTAGGTTTAAAGCATTTGAAGCCTTCACAAAAGGCACTGAATAAAAAAATACCTTCTTTTTAAATTGAAATAAAATCTGCAAATTAGAGCTACCTTATATATAGTGTACCTAAATTAGATATTAAATTTATTATGCTACACTTACTTCTGAGTTCATTATGGTTATATTGTACAATAGTAGTACAAACAGCCTGCTGCTTCAGGCCTAGTGAGAGATGAGAACCTCAGGATATCTTCTAAGGGCTTCTGTTCCTCTCTCTCCCTGTGGAGCACCATAGCCTGGTAGGAATTATTCAGGGCCTGAGTTTCAGGAGAATTCACAAATACTATTGCTTTTATTGTTTATGACTGTGATATTGGCAGAATTATTATTATAAGGACACTGTGACTGGAATTTATGATATGACATTCCATTATTACAAATTGCGTCTCCGAATTTCCTGCCAAACTCTGCTTTACATTTGATAACAGACCTGATCAAATTACTATAAAAATAGGAATACTTACAGCCACAGGAGCAAGATTCTCCAAAGGACACCGCCCATGTCATGAAAATGGGTAACCAGGCTCCACAGCAACAGCTCCAGAGCTAGCGGTGGCTCACGGGGTAGGGAAGAGCATCTACACACTTTGTGGTAGGATTCTCTGGTTAGCCATTGTTGTGTGCATGGTGTTGTGATATCTGCTATAATTTAATGTATTGATTGTGTGCATGAGCTTGCATAATTCATAGCAGGTGCTCACATTCTGATGAAAGGATGTGCCTAATCGCATTACACATACTGTGAAAAAATACAAAACTCCAGTGCATGTTTGGTTTCTCTTTTTTTTTTGTTTTGTTTTGTTTTTTCATATGGCAGTACCATTGTAGCCAAGATTCTGATACTGGGGTTTTGTTTCTTGGGGAGAGGGAGTGGTTTAGTTAGTGTTAGTGTTAATACTTGAATATGAATATTATGTTGTTTAATCTGCCTACATGGTCTCTGCTGTATTTTATTGTAAAAAGTGTATGGTGTATGTGAAATGTTTCACATGCAGTGCTCATTTCATGTCTCATATGCTTATGACTCAAAATTTGTAAGCAACCAGAAGTTATTTCCCACTGTTCTATATACTGTTTCTAGCTCCGTACAAATATTTTGTCAAGTTTATTACTTGGAGCTATGCTATGTAGTTAAAATTGAAACTGAAGGTGGAAAAAAGAATCCTCTGGTTATGAAAGAAGATGTAATTTTTGTTTAATTCTTAATGATAATGACTCCAACTGATTCTATTTAATATTTTTTTTTATGGATCTATGGGAATCTGGACTGTACTGAAACTCTGACTTTAATGAGGTCAGGATTTCCTTTATGTAGCATAATAACAATAAAGTACAGTAAGAAAGTGCTAAACGTGGCTTTCCACTCTTCTGATTGTCTTATTCATTACCAACTGCCCTTAGTTTTTGCCAGAGAGGTGAGGTTTCTGGACTTTTCTTGTTTATAAATGAATTGTTAGCCACAATGTAGATAGTCTATAGATAGTCTGTAGATGATGGAATATTCACTGTGCTGTGTATTTCTAACCAAATTTTTTGAAAACTTATCCTATTTCATAGTGATCTACTAAGCAAGCCGATTTTGAGATGCATTGATTTATCTGTCCTAATATTAAAAGTATGTGTATATTGTAGAGGGAGGAAGTTCTTTCGTGTGATTTACCTAAAAAGTTGGAATGGACTAGGCAGCTGAAACCTTTTGAAAACTCTACATTAAAGTCAGAGAACTTTAATCTTGTAAGTTATTAGTTATGGATTCTGTGTAACATGAAAAATATTTCTATGTTCTACTTGTGATTTCTGCCATCACAAGTGTGTATCACTAAGACTATTTTAAAGACATACAGTGAAAGAGACACTTTTTTAAATGTATGTTCTATATTGTGTCCAAATTTGTCACCAAATGACTTAAGATGCACCATGAAATGTATTAAAATATTGCATTTTCCTATAAAAATGGCAATAATAATACCATAGATGTCTTAATTACTATTTACTAATGTTCGTGTTACCTAGAAGCCCCAATTAGAAATTGAGGCCCTACTATGCCAGGTTCTGTATATACAGAATAAAATGACAGTCACTGCCCCCAAAGAATTTATCTAAATAACTAAGGTAGTACTTAAACTTCCTAAATTTCGTGCTTATATTTCATCAGCTTTTATTCAAGTATGTTTTAATGTGGTTGGTGATCAAAATAATCTTTTGTTAATACAGTACAAACTAGAAAGAAATCAGCATTTTATGTTGATACTTATGTAATCCTACCAAAATGTAAAGGCATATAGGTCACAGAATTATAAATCACCTAAAAATGTTAATACGCTACTAGTGATTTTCATAGTCACTGCTTTAAACTATTTAAACTAAACAAATAGAGCATGTGTACAAACATTTATGTGAAATTTGAAAATTCAAAGTAAAATTTGTCTTAATATATCACAAATACATTTGTCAATATTCCTGCACTACGTTTAAATGCACATTAAGTGAAAAGCTCCATTGTCTCCCAGCTCTGACCATGCAAACAATGCCATTTAAATATTAAAAAGAGAAATCACACAGGTGTGTAGAAAAATACTGATTCCAAAATTTCTATGCCATCTGGTTTGTTTTGTATGTATATCTAAACTGAGATGTCAAAGACAACTATGAAAGTTATAATGTTGACTACTGTACTGAAATGTTCTGAAAGTACTCTTAGCAGAGAAGAAAATCAATGCAGAAATTGAACCAATACTGGAAAATAAGATGAGAAGACTCTTGGGAACAGGTAGAAAGCAAGCTAGGAGTGTCAGTGCTGTAATAGAATAGGTCAGTTAAACAAGTATTGTGTGACTGGAAAGAAGGAGCAGTTGTAAACAATGACATGTTAAAATACAGTGAATGGCTTTTGTTGTTACTCTTAATCTGCAGCCAAGATTCTTACTTGCATATACATTTAAGTCAATGCTTTCATACATTAAGATTTTATCCCAAACTGTCTGAAATTCAGCCACAAAGGCAAGGTATCCTTAAGGCATCTTTCCTAATTCTCTAATGCTAAGGACATTATAGTGACAAGCAGGCTCCTGATATAAATTGGAGACACAGAGCTACTGGAAATCTTGGCTGTTGTACTGTTCACCCAACTACTCTTCCACTAAGTCAGAATTAGAAGAATATGCTGTGTGCGCTCACCCTGTTTCCTAAGTGTTAAAAAGACCTGATAGGCAGCGGCACAGATCTGCCTACCTAACTTCAGTGAAGTGTTTCCTAGGAGAATCACCAGATGACTGATAAATAATCTTAGCGGAGATTTTAATAGTGTGTAGAACTACTTATTTCAGCTAGTGTGCCTGCCACACGCAACCACTTGAGCTACCAAAAGTGATTTATTTGAAGTGTGGGTTTTGAGCAGAATTCAAGGCAGCGTTTACAGTGTTACAAAAAGCAGATTCAATGACATGCCATAAATCTTGGGAATAAACTTCATTTGCTGTGAGCCAAAAGTTAGCAACTTTAAAGAGAAATTAGGTTTCTATTGTTACAAAGTATTTGTGGTTCCTCAGGAAGGAATAAAAAGCAACTACAAATGATGGCATGTGCTGAAGTGTATTTTATTTGTGCCCTGTTTATTTGTGAAGGAGATGAGGAAAATTAATGACAAGACTACATTCACAGAGAAAGATATTGTCAAACATTATGTGTCATGGGGAAGAGACAGAGAATTAGAGGCAGGAAATAAAAACGCTTTGCAAAGACTTATCAGGTGAAGATCCTACACTGAGTTGAAATCTAGTGCATGAAGTAAATTACTTTTGGCATTTACTGTCACAGAGAAACCAACCACCTTAAAGAAGGTGTTATTTTCAACCTGTCTCATCTCTGATGTGCCAGGTATTTTCTGGATATGTTGCAGAACTGTTTGTTAAATAATTGCAGCAGGAAAAACGCCAGGCTTCAGTTTGTATCACTTAAGCAAATACTTATTGCTGAAGCAAATGTGTAAGTCTCATTAAGTCAGGATATACGTAAAGGAGATATTCTGCTGCTAGTCTTGTATAAATTAGTATGTGGTTGATGTTCACTTTGATCTCCCGTTTTTAGTTTCCTATTTAGCTCTAATTCAAAAAAGTACTTAATTCTTTGTTGTCCATCCATATTATGATAAGTTTCAATATGATCTAATTTGGACTTAAATGCAAGCTTATGGTGTAATATGTTTCATTACTGTCCTAAATACATATTCTTCTTAAAATCTGGGCCTAAAATTGCTAGGATTTTTTTTTTTTTTGGTCTTAACCTGTATAAAACTTTTTATTTATTTTATTAAACATTCTTGTAACAAAAAAAAGTATGCTGATTAACTGCAAATTTTTATAAATATATAAGCAAATTTATAGACTGGTAAAAATAGCTAGATAATATTACAGGTGTTTGTTGGCTTTTCACTTGTGTTAACCAAAATCCTAAGCATATATTCTAATTTCTTTTTTGCTTGATATAACAGAGACTTTGCTTTACTAATCCACTTCATAAAACAACTTTCCAAACCTGTACTCAGTCCTTTATTTATTTTTTAAGCAAAATTGAAGAGCACCAGAAAGTTTGTACCCTGAATGACAGGTTGCTCCTACATCTTTATAAACTGAAAGTGCAGACTTGCAAAATGTTGTGAAGTCTGATATCAGAAGACATAAAACAAAAATGTTTTTATAAAAAAACATTTTGAAGTATTTTAAAGGTGATTTAGGTTGTAGCCCTGGTACACTCTCGTATACAGAAATGCACAGTCCTACACATTTTACATTATTTCAACATTATGGTATAGTCAAGAGATATGGTACTTAAGTAATGTAACACTTCTTTTGTAACAAAGGCTCAGAACCACTCCCAGCCCCTGTAAAATTTAATTAAAATTAGTTTGTTAGTTATTCTCAGATTTAGATTTTTGTTGTTGAAAAATATGAACATTTTTTGAAACCATTAGGTTGGTTTTGATTTTTGATGTCATAAGGAAAATTGTTTTGCTTTGGGATATTTCAATGAACAGAAGGAATCCAGAATGTCACTGAAATATTTTAAAATTAAATTTGGCATGTTTATTCTGTAACAAATGTGGTCTTGGCAAAGTGTGAAAATCTCCAGGAATCATAATATGAATATAAAATATACACATTTGTTCTATCTTTTTAAAGTTGTTTTTTTTTCTGTTAGGCACAGTGTTCTTATTTATGTGTATGTATATTTATATATGTTGATATTTACCTATGCTTTGAAATCAGTGTGCTTCTGTTTATTTGCATTATTACACATTCAAACAAATGCGTTTAGTGCATCTGTTTGAATGTGATACATCATATAGATGTGAGAACATTATTTTAATGAAAGATATTAAAGACTATACACATTATGGCTAAGATTTTATTTACAAAAGTAATGAAATTAAAAGTTATGGTCCCCACAGCATTTTAAATACAAATATATAAGAATATGAAAACCAAAATGCAGTCTACACTGTAAAGAAAATATTAAAGAATCATCATGCTCAATATGGGGTTCATAATTTTAAATTTCTTACTTTGAGTATATGTAAAATCTCAACAATTTCAATAAATTGATTCTTTGCATTTGATTTGTAATTTTAGAGTGTAGTATTGTGCATGTTCAAATGTGATTTAGAGGAAGAGGAATAATTCTGAAAAGCAAACCAACTAATTAATAGGATTATGTTCCTACATTGCCAAGTACAATACTTATTCCTAAACACACTACAAAGGTTCAATATATTTATACATGCATGTATTTTATCTCAGGGAGTCAACTACTTTATGTCCAAGGGCATACTAGACGATTCACCGAAAGAAATAGCTAAGTTTATCTTTTGCACAAGAACACTAAATTGGAAGAAGCTGAGAATCTACCTTGATGAAAGGTAATTTGAATTTCTCTTGAGCATTTCGTATTCATTTTCAATGTACAGCACCATTCAACAGTATTTTGCTTGTATTGATGTCATTTTAAAGATGCAAAAATGCTAGAAAATGCAACTAAGTAATGCTGATTGTAAATCTGCAGTTCAAGTATTTACGTGACTGAAATGCTTTATAAGAACTCCTGAAAATACCACGAATAACTAGTAAATCTCACATCCTGTACTTTTTCTGCATTTTTGCAGCTCTGGGCATAATTTGTTTTGAAGTTATAGTGCGCGTTCAAACTGCACAGGATAATCTTTGTACTGTATGATATTCATGTTTTATAGATATTTTCCTGCTTTTTTGACTTGAAGTTTCTTTTTTTTCTATCTAGTATGGGCGTTAATCAGAAAAAGCAGTTACCACTTTACCAAGTGATGATAGCTTTTTAACTAATGTTGAATCATCTAACCATTGTTTGGTTGTCTGATGTTTCTGGAATGGAAGTCACGCCTACCTCCTAAGATGCAATGTGGCATCCTCTTGGAGACAGCATGAGCTACTGTAGTGAACACTATCCCTGCTGTAGCATGCTCTTCTACCTCCGCAATGCTTTCTCTTGCCCTCCAGGACACCTTCAGGTTGAGGTAGCGCAGTATCAGGAAAGAGGAGCACCAACACGTTCAAGCAAAGTTGAAAGACGAGGAGAATTATAACTGGACCTAAATAGGAAGAGCAGAGGGACAGCAGCACTTCTAGCAGGAATCCTCTCCTGCTTCTCATCCTTCTCAGCCTGTACTACTAAAGGAATAAAAGGAGTCATTCTGTAGCATTATCACCACTGACAGTCCTGTGCTGTAAAACGTTACATTATCCATTTTTTGGTCAATAGAAAAAATACAAAACCATTTAACAGATGAGGTTGCAAGTTAATATTAGCAACCCCTACTGCCATTCATCTTCCCTTTGTAAGCAGAGTATAAGGAGGCACTAAAATAAAAACTAGGTTTTTAAATTTTGAAACTCCCCTCTTAGTACTGAATTGTTTAATCGAAAGGATGAACTTACAAGAATATTCTTTGGTTCACTTCAGATTTGCTTCCACGTTTCCTTCAGATGTCTTTTGCACATCTGTTCATGTAGGCTAGTCTGAATCCTTCAGATGTTTATGTGTTCAGTGGAAAATACTTGAAAGCATTGCATCCTCATGGACTTAGACTTTAAAGGGGTTTTGTGAGCAAATTTTATCTAACTTGAGCCTGTTTTTAACAAGATACTCCTGTAACAGCTTCTACTTAGGCACCAAAATGTGTGACACACATGAATCTATTCCCTTGACTGTCTTTTTTTAATGGCTTTGTCAGTTTAAAGAAAGCAAAACCTCTATGTAGACTCTGAAAATACATATAAAGAAACTTAGAATTCTGATGAATATGTATTTTTATAGTATTTGGCTACTACTGTGTCTGAAAAACGTTTTTATATTATCTTTGCACTGTTAGTGATGATTTTCTTTGTCTTTCGGCAAAAACCAAAGCTTGTGAACTATTCTAAAGCTTTCATTTTTGTTTTTAAAACCTACATTTCATACTTCTCTAATTATGTGGGATTTTATTCTACCAGGCGAGATGTTTTGGATGACCTTGTGACGCTGCACAACTTCAGAAATCAATTCTTGCCAAATGCACTGAGAGAGTTCTTCAGACACATTCATGCTCCTGAGGAGCGTGGGGAGTACCTTGAGACTCTCATAACAAAGTTCTCTCACAGATTCTGTGCTTGTAACCCTGATTTGATGAGAGAGCTTGGCCTTAGCCCTGGTAAGCAGCAAAGAGCTTTGATTGAGTGGATCAGTCTTTATATTTCTGGATTATGCTACTGTTTATGATAGTTTTAAAATCAGCACCTAAACAAGTATTTCTGAAAGTACAAACATGGCTTGGGAGTGTTCAGTATGCAGGTATCATCCCACTTAGGTTGGGGAAAAAAAACAACAAAAAAACAACAAACCAAAAATAACATAGATTCTTTTCTTAGGCTTATTTGATAAGTGGGTTTTATTTTCATGTTATCTTTCCTTCCCTTTCTCTGTGCTTGAGTTCTGTAGTATCTCTAAGTTCCCTCTTACGAAGACTTACACACTTAAAATGTTACCCAGTGGATAGTCCCACAGAAATGAGAGGGAATTTTCGGCCTCACTCAAGTTAACAAGCATTTCAAATTGGTTGGGCGGGAGCCAGTTTTCAACAATGGGACTGCTTACATACTTAAAGATAAGCTTTAGCAGGATGTTGGCTTTGGTTTAGAAAAACTTCAAGAATCTGTTTAAATGAATGTGCATAAAGCCCTCAGTGACTTTTGGATAATGTAGAAATATTAAGAGATTTGTAAATACTCATTTGGCAATGTGCTGACATTATTACTTTGAAAATTGCTGTATTAAATTTTATTTCACTGATATACCCTTTTGAGTTGTTATGTATGTGTGTATAAATATAAGCCCAGATGATGAAGACTGTAAGGTTCTTGGGCAGAGAACAATATTTTTAATGACCACAGTTTCCTTTTTAATTTTTTTTTATTTATTCTCTCTTGTCTAGATGCAGTTTATGTACTGTGTTACTCTTTGATTCTACTTTCTATTGATCTAACAAGCCCTCACGTGAAGAACAAAATGTCAAAGAGGGAATTCATCCGAAATACGCGACGAGCTGCACAGAATATTAGTGAAGATTTTGTAGGGCACCTTTATGACAACATCTACCTTATTGGCCATGTGGCTGCCTAAAAGCACAATTTGCTAGCACTTAAAAATTAGAATTTTCAAAAAACACATCAATTCAAGAAATTAATTATTTTGTAAAAATGGGGGTTATTTTAGTGCTGGTCATTCTAACCTCTGTATGCAATCAAAGTGTGTGTGTGTGTGTGTATGTGTAAACTACCTTTTCTATCTATTTACCATCAGAACAGAAGGATTTGGAGTATGTTTTTCATAATTTTTTTAGTTTTGCACAAAACAATGCCAATACTCTGACATAGCCATTTACGAACGTTAAACTGACATTGCAGTCTCAGTTGATAAAGTGGTGAATTTGTGCATTAGATCTTCTTGAAACTTTAATAAGTTCATTCTTTTTAGAATACCATGTAATGTGTATATATTTAACTAAAGAGATTTATAATCATAATTATTTTATTGTAAAATATTTTAACTAAAATTTCTCCTTTTATCTCTTAAAATAGTGTTGTACTTCTTTCTGTTGCATTTTTTTTTTTTTACAATGCTGACTACCTCAGATACATAAGTTAGAGAAACATTGGTCTGGATACTACAATAAAGTTTATTCTAGAAGATGACAGAACATAAGTAAAATATCTGAGCTGGTATTTAATACTATATTGACTCAAGTTAGCATATTGGCAATCTGCTATTCACTCAGTTTTAAAGAAGTTTATGACCTCTATTGTGGATGAACCCTGATGTCACATAGGGATAGCCTAGGGAAATGGTGCAGTTTACATAGGGCTAACCTATATTGCAGACACTAGTTATTGGGGACACAGGGCAACTACAATAATCTGTTCAGCATGGTGGGCAAGGGAAAATCTTAGCAGGGAAAGTGGCAGGGGTGGCTAACATGTTGCTGCTTTCAACTGGCTCCCTCAGTCTAGAAGTGTCAATGATGGAAACGCCTAGGCAAATATATACCAGATGACTCATTGCTAATGCTGGTAAAAACTGACTGTGCACGGTGAGAGCAGTGACCGTGCAGGACTGGAGAGCTGAGTCAGATACCGAATTACTCTTTCTAAATCTGTCATGTAGCTAGATTTTAAACACTTCTAGATTTATAGAAATACTCATTGTTTCAGTCAGTTGTGACTTACATTTTCTGGAGGGTATAGAATATTAGCAGTGCAACTCCTGTGCGTGTGCAGCAGTGGATGAGGATTTGCCTGGCTTTTGTTCAGCCAGCTTATAGAGCAGTACTTGTCTTAAATTGACGTAACATGTAGTTGTAATCAGACCTGTTCCTGATTATGTTTGTTTACATAATATTCAGCTATCGCTAGCATCTGGATCCATCATGGTAACAAGTAGATTTATCCTTTTTCCCCTACCATACCATAAGGTGAGGTAGGAAGATACTAGTTCTGTTTTACAGATTAATACAGTCTTTTTAATGTAGGAAGCCTCTGGCAGAGTCAGGAATTGAATGCAGGTCATACTCCTCATAGACACACAGTTTGCCCACACTGCAGCCTTCCCTTTGGCACCAAGGGGTCGTAGATATTAGAAGAGTGATGACAATCACACTCCACATAAGGGCTACATAAATGACAAAGGGAAAAAAATGTAGCTACTGGTGCGATTTCAGGTGTTCAGTACATTTTGTTTATAGCTGTGGTCTGCATGCAAAAACACACTCAGAAAAAGTTGGGGTTTTTTATTATGTTACCTTTAATCAAGTGTAAATACCATTTGTATGTGTAGCATACACAGCCAAAGCCAGGAGCCAGCAGTATTGGAGCTATTTTCCAGACAGGTTTTACAATATCACTCCTCTCTCAGGAGAACTTCTCATCACTTCATCCTGTGTCATTTCATATATTTCAGAAAGCCTAAGGATGCATTCTGCAGTAGTCAGTTAATCTCTCACACAAATAAAGAGTATATGGTACATTGAGGAGCTTTGTTTAAGGCACAGTTATCTGGTCCTGGGGAAAAAGAAAAAAAAAAAAAAAAAATTGGAAAACTTTTAACATAATATGTAAAAACAACAATAAGTGTCTTTGTGGTCCTTAAAGTGATCTTCTGTGAAAACTGCAGAATATGGCTTTCTAGAAGACAGTCCTCCAAAGTTATACGCTTAAAAAGAAGAATTCAGTGAATCTTGAAATTACAACTAATCTTACCAGGAAATGTTTTCTTCTCAAACCACAAATGGAGAGCAAGGCGTAATTCTCTTCTGACTTGTATTTATGTTGACATTAGTGATACTGGTTTTGATTTTGTACTGATGCAAGAGTACGAATTGTCAGTTTGCACTAGTCTTAATTTGCAGTTACCCTCAGTTCCCCTCCTCAAACAGATACAGAACAAAGCCTCCAGCAAGACAGAACGTGTTTTTTCTGGAATAGATAAGTACATCTATTAACAAGGTTTAGAAAGCTTTGAGGCCAGTGTAACAGCCAAGACAATAAATTAGAAACAGGATGATATAGTTAAGGTTTCTGTAAGACACAAGTCCAGGGGGAAAGAACAAAACAAAACCAAACCCTAATCACATACAGGTAACAGCATCTGATCTTCACAATAGGATTTTGAACAGTATTAGATGGTTAGCACCCAACTCATGCTGTACATTGTGTTACTAACTCAGAGTGGAATAGAAACCAGCAAACACAACATGCTAAGTGTGAATTCCCTTAGAGGCAACCAAGAAACAAAATATGATAAGAGACATCTCTTCTGTCCTTTTTTCTTTTGAAGTTTAAATCTTTCTCAAGAGTGTCAGAGAAGTATTTTTTTTTTTTTGCATTTTAAGAGTCTTGAAGTTAGGCAATTTTCTGTCTTAAAAAAAAAATCTTAAACAGGTGTAACAATACTCTTACAAAGAGAAGAAGATTAAGTTTGAATTCTCTTAGTCATCTGCTAAAAACTTAAGTTTGGGGCTCTCTTCTTCAATGCACTATTGCTGTTTCCATACACATTTTAAAAGAAAATAGTGATAAATATTTCATTGGCCCAGGTGTCACTAAGTGAGCTTATTGACGTGGTGTGGAAATAGCTGCTTGACCACTGTGGAAGGCTTAGACAGAGGATCCCAAACCTAAATACATGAGCACCACCAACCTCAAAATGATTCCCAAACTAGTGTGTGATTCCACCGCTGCATGTCCTTTGAACTTTGGCTGTGTGATGTTGCCTTCATGCTTAACTGTGCAGTGGATACACCGAAGGAAGAATGAGCCTGCAGCCCATTCCCCTGCAAACACTAGTTGTTCTGGTCCTAAAAGACACTGAAGTTGTGTTTTGAAGGGCCATTTCTGAAATTTTGTGACTTTAGTACACACAGATGTGACAGGACAACCGTTCTTTGTTCACATAGGGAAAACTAGTGCACCTAAGTCCACGTAAAGCATCACAGAACACAGTTCATTTTTGGCTGTATTAAATTCTGAGATTCTCATTGCATTTATTCAAGGAATATGGTATATATTACATATTCACATAGCTTAGTTATAGTCAGTGTCTGATATTCTACATTTTCTCAAAGCTCTGTTTCTGTCTTGAATACTTGCCATTCATAATCTAAACAACAGATTTATACAGCATTAGCTTTTTAAAATAAATCAAAGCTGCTTCAACATACAAAAGCCCCAACAGTTCTAAGTTAGAGACACATTTGTCAATTATGAAGCGGGCAAGAAATTTGCATTCAGAAAAAAAAAAATTCAATTTGTTCTCTTCAACCTTTTCCTCCCACCCCCCCACCCTGGAAAAAGAAAAATTATAAACAGTTTCAAAATACAGATATAGGAAAATAAACTGTCTTGCTGGGCAAATAAATGTTACTGTTTCCTCTTCAGTATACTGCAGTTTATTAATGTTCTTTACATAAACAAATTTATCAACAGGATTTGCTCTTTTTTTGAGTGGCAATAGTTCCGTTCTTTGTATAAGGTGGTCATTGTGCAATCTGATATTTTTTATAGTTCTCTTTTTAGAAAACAAGTACTAAATTATTTGAAGTACTTAAGCAAAATTGAGGTATACCTACTTGACCATGTTAAAATGTCAAAATAACAATATCAAGTATTTAGAAAAGTCAAATTTACTTGCCTTATGTTGGATTGGGATTTTTTTTTCTTTTCACATATTTCATCTAAGTATCAAAACTAATAAACATTAAGGCTGATGACTTGTTCTCTGCTGTTATAAAATCTACCACTCTGATCTCGAAAGCACTATTAAAATGGACAAAGGACAGACTTAAAGGATTTCCTGTGTCTCCCATAGGCACATTATGGTTTCATTTTGCCTTAAAGAGTAAAGTACAAACTTTTATACTTTACATATAATAATGATTTTAGTAAAATAGCATTTTATGTTACCTTCTAATATTATTTTTCAAATGTTATAAGTTAAGAATTGCCATACAATGCATGTAATTAAATCATAACCAGATAGCTAGGATTAGTTACAGAAACTAATGTTTATGTAAAAAGCTTCAGAGATCACATCGCTCCTTCGTTACTTCAGTGCTTTTGCTGACACTGTTAGTAAATTTGCAGTTTTCCTTTCTTATAAACAAGTTTAGAGAAGAGATGAATTAGAAAATATTTACACAGAATACTTCCATTCCTTATGTGAAATGTTCTTCCATTAAAAAAAGGAACTCTCTGTATTTGCTTTATAATTTTTTAAAAAGCAAAAAAATACAGTTCATTGAAAAAAATGAAGAGGCTTTAATTTTCAGATATGTGGTTCACTCATAGCACCTAATGCAGAAAATGAGCAAAAAGCACTTTTCAGATTTCTAGCAATCCAACAAATGCACTATTTTTTAAGCTTAAAAACACTACTTATTATGTGTACATGACAGGAATCAAGCATGTTTATGTGAAAGCAACATGGTCAGGATACCAGTTCTTTTCAGAGAGTGTATTCATTTGTAAAAGTTAGATTTCTTCTTGGCAGTGTTGGAGAGGAATGTTGGATTTAATTTAAAATGATTAATGAGATTTTGTCAGACTCCCTGCCTTTACCACCACTGCAGTTTGTCAGCCCAACAACCTGGGAAACCCGGACGCCACTCTGTCGCCCAAAACAGCTTTCCAGGAAAAAATAAACCTGAGTAACTGGTGCCAGTTACATGTCAATGGTATTGTCTTTCAGCTGTTGAAAGTTTAACTCTAAGTTGGGACATTTACACATTCTGAGGAAGTGAACCTCGTTCGTTATTTCAATTGTCTGGTTTTGACAGTGGATACCAGTATAAATTTAAAGTTTTCAGAGCAGGCATACATAGCCTTTATTATTAACTCATGGAAAGTCCTATAATCCATGCAGATGAGAAACTCTTTAAAATGAAAAAAAATAATATCAAAGCTCATTCAGCTTAAGTTTTTCTGGAGAAAGACCATCTATGCAACCTCTCTCATTTCTGGCTGTATTTCATTAGGAGGATCTCATCCTCTGAGCCCTACACAAGCGAATCGGCTGCGGCATGGCAAG